GGGGAGCGGCCGGCGCCCCTCGCACGCCGCTCGCGGCCCGACTCAGAGGAGTTAAAAATAACAAAAAAAAACAAACAAAAAAAACCAGACAGAAAGAAAGCGCAGAACAATGGACAAAAGAGAAGTAGCGATGCCCGGGGACTGCCCCCTCCCTCCCTCGGAAGCGCCGGGAGCGGGGGAGATGCGCCACGCAACTCTCCACGCACTTACCCCACTTTTGGCCTTTTGTTTTCCTCCGGGGAGGTCCTGAGGGCGCCTCCAGCTCCATCCCCCCGGCCCCGCGCCCAGCGCCGAGAGGTTCCCCCCGCCCCTCCACCCGCGGCGCGGGGGGGACCTGAGCGGGGCCCCCGCGCACTAAGTTTCTTCCCAGGCGTCGGCAGCATTTTACTTTCATCCAAGCGGGCGGGAGCGGGGCTGGCACTAGAAGATGGCTTTCCCGGCTGGGGGGGCAGCGGGGGATGCGCTGCTCAGGTCTTTTCTCCCGAGCGTGTGGGGCTGGGAGTGGGGGGCGAGCCAGCAAGTTGAACAAAAAATGTTTCTGTTCATTTCCTCACAGATCATCCGTTCTAACGACGGGGGAAAAAATCTTAATGACTATGACCTTAGCAGCATGGCTAGCTGATTTATCCGCATTATAAATCCCGCTAGTTTGCGGTAATGTGTGAGTATCCGTATATAATTTCTATTAAATTAAGAGAAAGCGTGACCGGTCATTATTATTATTATTGTTATTTATGATTATTATTATTTTCTGAAAGTTGAAATCCGTCCTTTCCCAAGGAGAATGTCTGTCGCTTTTGCTTGGAGGGGTTTTTTTTTTTTTTTTTTGTCTTGCTGTTGCACAACAGAGGCTCTCTAGTCTTTAACCTAAAATGGCAGCTTTAATTTGACTGGAGCCCATTCATTGACAATGATAATAAAAAAAGGCTGAAAGCTAAATGTAGCTGGATGCTTGGGGCACGTTGTAGAACTCTCCTCAGCATCGCCAGGCACCGCAGAGGGCAACTTCTGAGTTCTCTAGTTTCTTCATCAAAAGTTTCCAACAATTTTTTTTTTTTGTTCGCAATATGACGTTGTTCTCTATAAACACATGCTAGACAGCGAAGTAGTTGATGAACTTAACTGTAACGAGACAGTTGGGGTTACGGCTTGTTTTAAGGGGGAATTGCAATTAAAAAAAAAATCTTGAAAAATGCCTATTGTATTCTTCTAAATAACCTGCATTAAAGGGGAAATTAACCATTTGTTTCTGAGGTTTGTAACAGGTGATTGGCACAATAACGTTGTTAACATTTATATATTTAAGCTACTAGAACAAAGTGAAGTTGTTACTTGTTTTGTCTTGACTTATGTTGGGATGGTGTTCAAAATGTGAAAAGGTTTGTACAGATAACGCTTTTCTTTTAGTCTGGTGTTCAACTTTTTTCTGATGGGGGGAGTAGTCTCAACATCTACTTTGAGGGGAGTTAACATTCTCAGAGAAAAACTATTTGAAAGACTGGTTTAGGAAAACAAAATCGTTATTTTTATACAAATAGATAACCCAGACAGACTTTATTTTGGTGTCAACATTTACTTAAGTGCCTTAAACCTTCCCAAAACATTTTATAGGCATTTAAAACCCTCTCAACCAAAATGCTTAAAATAAAATTTAATATTTACTAATGGGATAATCACACTGGACTAAGTTTCTAACAGGATATCTAACACTGTAATGATAAGCCTTTTAGGGTTTTTTTAAAAATTCAAATTAGTTTGTTTAAACAGTGGAAAAAACTTGCTCAGTCTTAAATGTAGAACACACGTCTCATTTTATTATCTGTTCCGCTATTAATTCAGTGGTTTGATGAAAGCTAGTATAAGCTTGGGAAGGAGATCTCAAAAAAGAGAGTTGTTTGTAAGAGAATGAATGATATTGTGGAAATACCATCCTAGAATAAAATACTCAAATCTTGCCTACCGAAAGGAGAAACACTCCAAGAATAGGGGACTACATTTTAATATGGTTTTAATATCTTTTATTTGAACATCAGTTCACATGCAGATGTGTAACATTGGTTCTAAAAAGGCCATGCAATATTTTCCTATTGCACACGCAGGCTTTATCATGTATTCTAACTTTTCCAAAGTGTGTGCATGCCAGTTTTCATCCAAACATTGAAGCTTTGACCTATGATGAGTAAATACTACAAGTAACATTTTAAAAATATATATGTATATCTAATATTTTCAAGCAGTTGTGAAATATGGTGCATTTTTATATTTTAACAAGTTTGATTATAGCATATGTGAAGGTACCAGCCACTCTAGCATACAAATTTATACAGGCTGATTTTGGCTGTGCATGTTATACCATTTTATAGACGCAAGGTGCCAGAAAGAAGCTCTGTAGCAGTGTAAAATATGTTGCTGCAAAGAAGGCCCTAAACTTTATAAGTTCAGACAGGAAATGGCTTAGGCCCCTTTATCTTAGGACAGTTTTCTGTTGGGAGACGGCATGAGTCAAAAACAGGATCATTTGTATAGAGGGAAAAGGCCGTAATTTATTTTCATGATTTGTACATCTAGTTATTTTAAAACAATCTCCTCAAGTTTGTATCAAGGTTCTTTAGATTGGCCTGGGCTTGGTGTCCTATAATGACTACTATTCTCTAGATTAGATATTGACAGTGTTTAGGGGCAGAGAAAAGGACTGAAGGTGGTGGTGGGAGGAACAAACAAGTAAACATCTCGAATTCTATATTTGTCTTATTTCTGGCTTCCTGTTGGTTGTGTGTCTATCAATTATTTTCCAGAAGGAAGGCTTTTAAAATCTGCTGAATGGGGTTTGAATGGGTGAATTTAGAATA